GCCTTCACAAAGATAAGCTGGAGACTGAGTTTGCCAAGTTTATGGCAATGTTGAAGCAGCTCAACATCAGCGTACCATTTGTGGAGGCACTGTCGCAGATGCCCAAGTACGCAAAGTTCATGAAAGATCTCCTCTCCAACAAGAAGAAACTTGGGGATCTCTCGACAGTGCTGCTGAGCGAGGAGTGTTCTGCTGTCCTGCAGAACAAGCTGCCCGAGAAGCGCAAAGACCCAGGGAGTTTCACTATCCTGGCAGCATGCATGTAGGAAAGTCCTTGGCGGACCTAGGCGCTAGCATTAATGTCATGCCATACAAATTGTTCAAAAAGCTAGACCTAGGTGAACTTAGCCCTACTAGGATGAGCATTCAACTAGCTGACCGATCCGTTGTGCATCCTAGGGGTATCATAGAGGATCTGCTTGTTAAAGTGGGTGCATTCACATATCCTGTTGATTTTGTTATGCTGGATATAAATGATGATGTGGATGTGCCTTTGATTTTAGGGAGACCATTTCTTGCCACCGCCAAGGCACTTATTGATGTGCATGATGGTAAACTGATCTTGCGTGCTGGGAATGAACAAGCTACTTTTTCTGTGACTGAGTTTGATCACTGTGCTATGATTGCTGTCACACCTGTGCATGCTATTTCTGACCGGGTACACGAGCCTGTCGTGTATCCGTCTGCATCTTCCATTTTGCAGGATTCCCCTCTCCCTCCTTCGCCGCCGCTCCCTCCAGCCTCATCACCGAATAAAAAGCTCAAAGAGGAGTGCCTAGGCCTACTCGGAAGAAAGGTGGAGACCACTATGAGCTGGTCCCACCTCCTGCATCACGATCACCCTGGCCATCCGAGTACTCACTCGCTTGCATCCTGCCGGATGGCCAGGTCGAGCTGACCAATGCCGGTGGTTGTACCCGTCGGGTGCATGGCCACCACCTGAAGCTGTACCTCAAGAGCGACGTGGATCCGCTCTTGGAGGCCCCTGTTCCTGCACAACGCTGAGTATCCACCGTGGGCGTCCAGCTAAAAGACGGTAAATAAGCGCTTGTGGGGAGGCAACCCCACCATGGTTTCCATTGATTTGTTTTGTTTCGAGTCGGATTGCGATTTTGTTTGGTTTTGGGTTTGTTTTCCTTTGTTTTGGATGATGTCTTATTGGGCTGACATTGGACCTACCATATTGTGTTTGAGCTCTTCTGTTTTCCTTTAGCTCTGCCTGTGTTCCCGACTGGTCTCCTCTCCAGTCCGCTTCCCTCGACTGGTCCACTTCTAGTCTCCTGCAGTCCGTGCATACCGGTAACATCGTTCCCCTTTCCCTTCCCTCGTCTCCATTGAGGGCAATGTCGATCTTAAGTGTGTGGGGGGTGTTAATCTTTTGACTGCATTAGATCTGTTTGTGTGCTTGGAGCCTAGTCCACTGTCCAAATTTTTAAAAATTTGAGGGCTCCAAGTACGTGTTCCTTGCAATTGCCTGCTCAGTATGCTTTGAATTGACAGTCTCTGTCGTGATTTGCAACCTAGGGAGGTAGTGTAGCACTATGGAGGATGTTGATGCATTTAAGACGTCTCATTTCTTCTTCATACTGTGTTGGTTGATTGAGTGAATTAGTGATCTTAGGACCCTTGAATTGTGTGGTGTTGTGGACTCTCTGCCTGTCATGGACTCTTGTATCATGTTCTGAAAGTAACAGGTGCTCGAAATGTGCTTTAAAATAACGTCTCCCGTGCGAATAGGGCGAAAGTGTGTAAGGGGAGACGGGAATCCGTTCCCAATTTCCACCTACTACCTCCAGCCCTCTTACATGTCTTTCCCTCGCACGAGGCTCGAGACACCCGCTCCTGGCATGGCCGGTAAGAGCCGGGCTCCCGCAAAACCTTTGCTAGGTGGGAGCCCCCGTTTTCTGCAGAAACAGGTTGGAACCCGTGAAAAAAAAAAAGAAAAAACAGAAAAAAAACAAGCAAAGAGAAGAAAGAAAAGGGTTCCAACCATGTTCAAAAAGGAAATCGAGCACCTTGAATTAATGTGAGTCCATGATCTTTTGTTTGTGAGAGTCTCTTCATCCACGATTCATTTGTCCTCTGTTCACTATTTACCATGATGGATTCGAGACTAGCGTTCTCGCCGAAGAAGTTATGAGATGACTTGTGCATCGGTTGACCTCGTAAGTTGCTAAATGATCTAGGAAGTCCTCTACCTACGATCGAGGTTGTTTGTTGCTATAGAGGTCTTGAGAGCTGCATTGGTTTGAGTTAGGTTTGCTTGGGGACAAGCAAACGGTTAAGTGTGGGGGAGTTTGATAGACCGATAATTATACATGTTTTCACCCCTATTCTGAAGCCGTTTGTGATGAGGAATCTCGTGTTTTAAGCCGATTTTACGCTAGGTTGTGTGTTTATGTCATGTTTCAGGTCCCGGCGTTGGAATCGACTCTGATGCGGTTGAAACCATTTCCCATTGTATGTTTGACTGCAGGGTAGCACGGGAAATTTGGGATTTGGCGGGTAAGTCTCAGCTTCGGGCGACAGTAGCAGCGCTTCCGGCCGATATGGCCTGGTCCCAAAATTTGTCCTCCATGCATCTAAGCAAGCTTGAGATGGCAGAGTTGGTTTTCCTCTCCTGGCGCGTCTGGAAAGCCCGCTGCTGGGCTTGCTACGATGGCGTGCAATACTTGGCTGGCCCCCTGTTTCGACAGTTTAGACAACAGCTCGAAGAGTGGCGTGGCGCTACTTCACACCAGGAGAGCTCCGGAACTAGCCGCCATCGCCATGCTCCCGCGTCGACCATCGCCTCATGTCCTCAGGATGGGGTGCTAATCCGATTCGATGGAGCAACACGACAGGAAGTGGGTGGCAGCATTGGGTTCGTTGGCTTCTCCCCGGCAGGAGCGATAACATGTGCACACGGTAAGTACTATGTCGGTTTATTTGATCCATTTCTACTGGAACTGCTAGCATTAAGGGATGCAATGGACTGGTGCTTAACCCGGGGTATCTTTTCTGTTTGTTTTTGTGGGGATTCGCAATTGGTGATTCGGCGAGCTTCGGAGGATATACAGGATCACAATCGCGGCGGGGCGATACTTGAAGAAATCAAATTGATGAAAGCATCCTTCGCGTTCATTCGTTTTGTTTTTTCTCCCCGTAGAACTAACAGGGCTGCCCATTGCGTGGCGAAAATAGCTCTTGCATCGGCTAATCAGCATATGGCTGATTTCCGTTATCTTCTTTTTAATTCTTTGTAATGCCCTATCTAATACATTCTACCTTAGCCAAAAAAAAAAAAAATGGGAGTGCAAAATTAACAAACAATAATGCAATAAAAATATTTTAGTAACAAACATGAAATAAAATGATAAATCCAGTACAAGTGAAGTTTTGATTAACTCCACGACATTATATACCTATTCCGCAAAGCTTTCCCTGGAAAAGAGGGATTAGATACTATGACAACACTCCTTGTGTTGTTATTGTAACAACACTAGTCTCCAACCAATAGGAAGCTAGGCTTGTGATGATTTTTTATTAGATGAGTTGACCTAGTGTAAAATCAAAGTAGGGGTATAATTGTCATTATGAAAAATCTATTTAAATAATAAAAAATAAATAAATAAAATATTTTTTATTTACGGCCCAAAATTTTGGTCGCCGGAATTCGGCCACTGGTCGCCGGTCACCGGAATATGCTTTTTGTCGCCGGAATATGCTACTTGTCGCCGGAATATGCTTACCGGCGTCGGAATCTAGTCATCAGGGCCGGAATATGCCTATCGGCATCAGAATCTGCTCACTGACGGTCATCGGAGTTCGGTCAACGGACAACGACCACCGGATGTTATGGTCTGCATTGTGATATTTATGGTTTGGTTTCTCATATTTTTGTATGCCTTTTGTGGTTTGTTTTATCGTGTTAGTGGTTTGCATTACGAAGTTTCTGGTTTGCTTTCAAAAATTTTGTGGTTTGCTTTGCGGGGTTTCTGGTCTGTTTTAATAGATTTTTGGTCTGCATTAGGACGTTTCTGGTTTGTTTTTGTGGTTTGCTTTATCGTGTTTGTGGTTTGGATTATGAGGTTTCTGATGTGTGTTTTAAAATTCTGTGGTTTGCTTTGCGGGGTTTCTGGTTTGTTTTAGTAGATTTTTGGTATGCATTAGGACATTTCTGGTTTGTTTTTTTTTTGTTTGCTTTAACGTGTTTGTGGTTTGCGTTATCAGGTTTCTGGTGTGTTTTTGAAAATTCTGTGGTTTGCTTTGTGAGGTATCTGGTATGTTTTAATAGATTTTTGGTCTGCATTAGGAAGTTTCTGGTTTGTTTTTGTGGTTTGCTTTATCGCGTTTGTGGTTTGCATTATGAGGTTTCTGGTATCCATTAAAAATATTTGTGGTATGCTTTGTGGGATTTCTGGTATGTTTTAGGAGACTTGTGTTTTGCATTAGTAGGTTCATGGTATGCTTTTTGTGGTTTGTTTTACCGCATTTATGGTTGCATTATGAGGTTTCTCGTATTGAAATGCTCATGTTCTGCATACCAATAACTCCTAAATGCATACCATAATAAATTTGAAGCACTCGACATCCCAATTATATTTCATCTTACACCAACATTGTAGCTTTTATCGGAACGTGTAGTCCACGCCGTTGTCTATGGAGAAACAAGGCAACTAAATTTCTTCTACTGCCGCATAAGGTGTGTCAATTCCAGGCACTAGATACGTTTCATCTGCAAAATTTTATCACAAAGATGGATTTTCAACAAACATCGATTAGAAGTTAAATGAGCTCTGCAGTTCATCAGACAACAGAAAAGAAGTGTACATGACAAGAGACTAATGATTTGCTTCTGCTCATCATCCCAAGAGGATCTATCAATTGCTTTTGACTCCAAATCAGCAAGCTCTTGGAGCTATCAATTGCTTTTGACTCCTAATCAGCAAGCTCATTTTCCAACTGCTGCAGCCCAGCAGAGTCCAATATACACAGGCAGACCGGGTCTCGCAGGCGATTGAATTTGTTCATCATCTTGCATCTTCTTCCTCGACCCAACCCCCCTATTACAGTTTTGCTATCTAATTCCTTCCTTCCCACCCCCACATTCAAAAAAATAAAAAAAGTTAAAACAGAAGCTAATCAAATTCAGGAGGATTCTAAGATGAGATTAGCCGTCTCAGCAATGGACAGCGTGTTGTGATTGTGATCTCCTTCGTAGGTCACCACCAGCATCGACGGGTCATCCACCGCTCTCTCCACGTGCTTCCGGGCCGGGCATCCCCGCACGCTGCTGCACTTGTAATAACCCCTGTAGTTTTTGCCACAATTGATTCAACAAACCTCGCCCAATCCCGGTCAACGATGGAGCAGATGAGAAAATCGAACTTACCGTGGATGCGGGGAGCCTTTGATTGGCTTCTGCCCGTACTTCCACCACGAGTAGTCGTCGAGAGGAATGTCCGCCATCTTCAGGCTTATCGCCGGAACCCTAACACCCTCTTCAATCTCAATTTCCTGCTGCAAAATTTCGGACGAATTCAATACACTCAGGCCGCGATTTGAGTGACGACGGAGTTGAAACACCGATGAGGGTTTCGATTTTTTAGGGAAAGCTAGCAGGGGAGAAGAAGAACTGAGATCCAACGAGAGTGTAAAGGGGACGGGGTGGGTAGGCTAAATATAATTTAATTTTTATTTTATTAGATTTTAGATAAATTTACGCTTATACCCTTAATGAATCATGTTGTTAGTATAACAACAATAAGGGTGTTGTTATACTATCCGCACCCTAGAAAAGAACCCAACCACTACCCGTTTGGAAGCCGCCATTCCCAACCTCGATCGATCCGCCGGAGAGCTCCATCGATGACGGTTTCTAAAAGGGGAAGGGAGAATTAATCCTCAATGAAGCTTTGGCTTCCAAGAATGCAGCCACCGTCGGCTGCGAAGCCCACTAATTATTAATGTCGATCGTCTATTCGCCGCATGCATAAGGCTTAAACTAGTATTGATGGAGCGACAATCAAGGAAATGACAAAGAAACTTTTTCCACAACTTCCATTTTTCCAGGGACAGCTCCCATATACTTGGACGCATCAACTACCCTGTCCCCGCCGGCCGCCGCGATGGCCTCGTCTCCAGCTTCAACGAGGTCACGCAAAACCTCCCTTCCCCGAGACTCACCGCCGACCAGCTCATCCAGAATTTTGCCCGAAAAGGATTGTCGGCCGACGAGATGGCTACTCTCTCAGGTGCGCATTCCATCGGCAGGTCCCGCTGCTCGTCGTTCTCTGACCGGCTTTACAACTACAAAGAAACGTGTGCACAAGATCCGACCCTCGACCGGAACTACGTGGCCAATCTGAAGGCCACGTGTCGAGCGAACGGCGGCAGTGATCCGACGGTGGCGATGGACCCGGCGATGCCCAATCGGCTGGACAATACTTACTACGCAGAGCTGAAAGCGGGGCGGGGGTTGCTGGCGTGGATGTGAACGCCATTTTAGAGAAAAACCAAATTAAATAAAAAAGAAAACTCATAACAAGATAAAAAAACAAAGTCCCCCTCCGTTTATCTTTTTGTGTGCTAAAAATCCTACCAACTTTCCCCATTTTTCCTCCTTTCCTCTCACCCCATGCTCAACCATTTCATATTTCCCCCCTTCTTTCCCTACCTTCCCCCCACCACTCTGGGTGGTCTTACTATAGGGAGTCGTCCTCAAGTATTGGTGGCACTAGAAGAGGTACCGGGGGATCATCTCTAGTTGGTGGATACTGCAATGGGAGATTAAAATTCCGCAATGGAAGCTTCGTATCACTCAACACTCGCAACGCATCTTGAATCGAGAGCCTACGGATTCTGTTCGGGTGAGCAAAATGGAGCCCCACCATCGACAACCGCTGCATCTCATCCCTATCAAACTCCCCTTCCACCCTCGGATCCACCGCCTCGAACACGTTCCCCCTCCCGTAGATCTCCCAAACCCACCTCACGATGTGCTCCTTCAGCAACCCCCTCCCGTAGATCTCCCATAATCGAATTAGGGTTTGAGAGGATTTGGGGAAAATGGAAATAGAAGAGAACTAGGAGACACGAAAGAGAGAGAGGTTCTCGATCATTCTCTGTTCTCTTGTAATTTCAGATTGGGCCCAAAAGACTCACGAGCCCACAAACAAATAAATGAAAGAAAAAAGAACAGGAATTAAAGCCCGCTTAATTTCAGCCCACGGTTTGGATAGAAAAGCACTCGTCTTCTTCCTTAGAGAGAAGAGAGCTTCGAGCATATGCAGAGAACAAAAACAGGGGAAAAGCAGAAACAGAGTAACACAGGCAGAGAAGAGAACACAAGCGAATTTTTAACGAGCTTTCCCAATCTACTGGTCAGTCCTCGTCCTAGACTCAGTACTTGATGTTTAGGAGACTCTATTTTTATTGATTTTATCCTATCAAGCAAATGAAGCAACAAAAGACTCAAGAACGAAAACGAAGAGAGTAAACAATCAACCCGGATACCAATCCCAGACCCGTTACACCGTTAATCAGACATAACCTATTCCTATGTACTGATTAACCCACTCTTTAAACATCCCTATACCGCTTTTACAAGAGATGATGATCATTGAGGCGCTCAAGAGGTATTTATACTCTTTTGCAGGTCGACCGTTGCATTCGAAAATCTCCCAAGAATGGTAATACTTGCAGATAAGGAAACTTTGGCATGATTTCCTTCGATTGATTTCCGACTTTCCATTCTCCAACAATCTCCCCCTAAGTTGGAAATAGCGAGTTGCCTAACGATCCTGCAAAACGAACAGACTATCTCCACACAGTAGAATATTATCAAAACATAAAAGGTCTTTAACTAAATCAAAACAATCATCCAGCATTCAAAAGGCATTCATCAAAGACCACAGCCATGTCAGGCAAACCACCAAAGCAAATTCAAGCAAGGAAATCGTCAAAGGAAAAAATCCTCCCCCTAAAACCAAGCTTACAAAGAAAGACACCACAGCCTGGTCTAAACAAACTTCCTCAAGGATCCTCCTATCACTATGCTGCTTCATTATCCGAATCAGATCCATAAAGGGCTTGAAGAGCGGCAGCAAAAGATTCCAGTTCTGGTGCATCATCAGAGTCGCTTGGATAATCAGATTCGAAGTCATTGCTATCACTGCTGATGACCAGTATATCATTGTCGCCATTCTCCCCCTCAACTGCTATTTCCAGAAGATCCATAACATCGTCAGCAGAGAGAAATATGGAAGGGGTGATGGTCATGAACGTATGAAGTTTGATATGAAGACGAAGTAGGAGGGTGGTGATGAGGGAACCAAAAGGAAGGGGGGATGAGAGGTTCACATCACAAAAGGAGATGATAGACCCAAAGAACAAGGGAGCAAAATTTAGAGGGATACCATGAGCAGCATGAGCCAAGACCCAAAGTTCAACAGGGGTTATCAACATCAGATTTCCAGAGCAAGGTAAAAACACACGAGAGATGAAAAAATGGAGAGCTCTGAGGGAAAGCAAAAGGGCAGTGACAGGCACTGAGAGATTAGGACCAGGAAACTGACCAGTAAGCTGATGGAACTCTTCCGAGAGATCAAAATTAAACAGACCCAGTTCAGACTCATTTGCAAGATTCTCTCCTATGACAGGGATGTGAAGAACACGCTCGATCTCAGCAACAGGAATAGTGAGGAGATTACCAAAGACAAGGGTGGTGAAAAAACGGGAGTGCACATCAGTAAACCGAAGGTTTGTGTAAAAGAAACGAACAGCATCAGGACAGACAACGGTTGAAAAAGGATGGTGCAAAAGAAAGTTCTAGCCTAGATTTTGGATAAAAGGACGCACATCAAGTCCTACCTCAGCCAGTTCATCAAGTTGAACATGATACGTAGGCAGAATCCTGACGGTTTTCAAAGAAAAGAGAGTGACGATGAGCATTGGCTGGAATAGGATCCAAAATCATAGTACCAGTGAAACTGTGAAGGAAGGGAAGGGTCATGGCTCAAGCAGAGGAAAAGGATTGAAACAAAGGTGATATGATCCAATTTAGCCTCCTGTTGAACCTCGAATTAAACGCCAAAGGATCAGTCAACGTTGGAAGGAAAAACGGAAGAATTTGGCTAAGTGTTTGGACCATTTCATGGTGCCTACTTTACGGGTTCGTTTCTTACATACTGGTTGATGGAATCACGGGGAAATGGTGTATAATTGAACTTCGAATGTTCCTTTATACGTTTGAAGCATTGTCCAAGCGATATCGATTGATTTGGGGTCGTTTTCAGGAGCTCCAAGTTGCTATGGTGAAACTGGAATTGTGGTTGTTTTTGCCTAAGTCTGGGACAGGTTTGAGATACCAACTTTGGAGGCTTAGGAAATGCAACTGGGGCATCAACGAAGGAAAGGGGGAGTTGGAACTTGTTCTACAAGTTTAGGAGAGCAAACGACTGAAGCTGGTTTGGATCGAACCTTCCTAGAAGACCCCTATCGAGTGCTCCAAAGATGCTATGAAGGCTGATTTTGTTACTTGTGCAGGAAGGCAGCAGCTTGGGCAGGAAGTAACTGAAGTTTATTACCTTTTTAAGTTTGGATTGTGTTTCCTTGTTATGTTAGAATTAGAATTCGATTTCCTTGTTAGTTTAGAGTTAGAATTAAGTCGTTGTTATCTATTTAAAGGCTTGAAGGCCTCGTGTAGAAGAAGATGAGTTTTGATGAATAAATTTGAGACTTGTCTCCCAAAGCTTGTGTGTTGGTTGATTTCCAGCTACGAGTTGCTTTGTATCGATTGAAAACGCATCAATCATGGCCGAGCTTCACTTCAAAACCAATCGAGCCTTCTTCCACGTGAGGATTGCACCTTTGGGTCCGTTTTATTTTCGTTTTAAGTTGTTGAAATTCAAGTTTCATTGAAGGAGAATCGAGTTTCACGTATTGATTCCTAACGAGCACAACTGAGCTCGTATCAAGTGGTATTAGAGCCTGGTTCAACACAGTGGACTCGATGCGTTGGACGAGGTCTAAAGGACCTGTTTCTGCAGACCCTGCCATTCAACGGCAAGCAGAGGAATCTGCCTCCGACGAGGAGAATCAGGGAGGCGACACCACGATGGCAGGGCAGTTCAACACAACTGAGTTTTTGCCGACGATCTCGGCGCAAATTGGGACTCTTTTTCAAGCGCAATTCAACAAAATCGAACATCAATTGGAGCAGCAAGGGCAACGACTTGATGCTCTGTCCGCGAACGTAATACAGGGTAATCCGCAACCTCTGGCGGCGGAAGTTAATAACGGCGAAGCCGGCAATAACGATCGCCGATTAATCGCGCGGATTGAGGAGTTGGAGCAGCAGTTGGTGGCGGCTGGTCTTGAGCAAGGCAGACATCGACGAGGAAGACCCCCTGAAACGGATTCGATTATACCGCCAGGAATCAAATTGGCTGTTCCCCAGTTTCAGGGAACTTTAAATCCAGCGGTGTACTTGGACTGGGAGAGGAAAATCATCCTCTTCTTCCAGTGCGGGCAGTTCACAGAGCAGCAAAAGGTCGCGATGGTCACCTACAAGTTCTCTGAATACGCGGCGCAATGGTGGGAACAACTACAGCTGCGACGTCGACGAAATTTGCAAGCTCCTGTGGAAACTTGGGATGAGTTGCGGGGATTGCTGCGAGACAGATTCGTTCCAGGCTATTATCAACGAGAAATTCACGAGACCTTGCAGGGGATTCGACAAGGATCGCGGGGTGTAGAAGAATACTTCCGCGAATTGGAGCTACTAATGATGAGGGCCGACGTGAGGGAGGATAGGGAGGCCACTGTCGCACGATTTCTTCACGGCCTCAATCGAGAAGTTTGGAATGAACTCGATCTCAGGTCCTTCGTTGAGTTAGAAGAAGCGGTACACTTGGCCGTCAAGATTGAGAAACAACAAAGGGCTCTCGCAGGCAGAAGAATTGTGAATCATAAGGTGGAAACAGAAGTCGTGGTTGAGACGAGTAGGACGGCACCAATCAAGTCTGCTCCGAGAAACTCGACGCCAGCACAGCAGGAGCGGATTGGGCCATCCAGTAGCTCGATTCAATGCTTTAAATGCCAGGGGCGAGGACACAAGGCGAACCAATGTCCCAACCTCAGAACAATGATACTGCGAGATGGGGAGTATTTCTCTGATGATGAAACTGAAAACAGGACCCCAATTGTGTCTAAAGAATCCTCAAGGGAAAGAGATGATGAAGAGATGGAAGGTGCGCAAGGACCCTTTCTTTCGGGAATGAATTTGCGAGTGTTAGGAGCGGAAGGCGAGACTGATCACGACCAACGAACGAACTTGTTTCATACACGATGTCTCGTCAACGGCAAGTGCTTGTCCGTGGTCGTTGATGGGGGCAGCTGTACGAATGTAATTAGTCTCGACGCCGTCAAGAAATTAGGCCTTGAGACAATTAGGCATCCCGAACCATACAGCCTGCACTGGTTGAACGATTACGGAGCTCTCAAGGTCACCAAACGAGCTCACGTAGCTTTTGAAATTGGAGGCTAAAAGGACGAGATCGTGTGCGATGTGGTACCAATGCAAGCAGCACACCTCTTGCTTGGAAGACCCTGGAAATATGACCGGGCAGTCACACATGACGGCGGAACAAATTGCTACCGATTTAAGTACAATGGGAAGTGGATTGTGCTCAAACCATTGTCACCGTCGGAAGTTCGCTCCGATCAACAACAAATGGCGTCGATACGAGCTCGAGAAGAAAGAGAAATAGGGGGAATACGAAAGAGAACAGGTCTGGTGCATGGGGGTATTATGCTGACTGCATTGAGAAGACCTACACGTCCTCGACTGATCGCGGCCGGAGTACCCTGTTTTCCTTCTCCGACGCGGCAGGGGAAGAGAGAGGGTGAATG